ATCAATAACCGTTTTGTTAACAGAGGTAGAAAATCGTAACCTCTTTAACTTTTCTCCTTTATCATTAATGTTTTAACTGATCACAGATGTAACTTACCTTGAATCTTTTGTTACATCTCTTCTCTACCTTTTCATATTCTTTGCCACAAGTCAACTCATATATTTATCACAACATACCCTCGTGTTTTTATCTCCCTTCATTCAATTTGTCAGTAATTTTACCTCACAACCAATCTTTACTAAATGCCAATTTTATCATGTAAGTTTTTGTTTATAAGTAATTAATGGACAAAAGTTCAAGTCAGTTGTTTCTGATATTCTCCTGAGTCTTTTCCAAACTATTTTTCCAATATTTCAACAATATTCTAGATGAGATGAACCTTGTCTATACTGATCTGCTAATTTCCTAAATATTCCTTGAACACGTCTGCCTTACCCACTGTGGAATGCCCTTATTCTTTTCTATCCTTTTATAACAATATCTATGGCATTTTTTTATATTTTTTACGTTTTATTTTCCTCTATAAAGTCTTCTTGATCATAAATTTTATAATGGCCGAAATTGATACAACCCATCTTATTTTATTTTTCATAATTTTATGTACCCCCTTAGTCCTCACAAATGCATCTTAAACCCCTTGATATTAGAAAGTATTTCTTGCTACTTTTGTGTATGATCATATTTAGAAGAGAGATTTGCAAAATACATATAGTTAATAAATACTTATAAGTATAGTACATAATTTTTAATTTACCCAACTCTACTTTTAAGATTGTTATTTCATGCAATTCTTTGGGATTTATTCACAGAGAATATATGTTTATCATGCATTTACTTTTGAGTCCTTTGGTTTAAAACTTTTCCGTACCTTAAGTAAGAAATTTGTGATGATATTTATAGATAGCTATCAGATGTTTTATTCTTGAACAGTTTTCTCCAAACATAACTTTTTGACATTAGGAAACCATTTAGTTTTCTTCTGACTGCTATAGGTGATACACTCATCACCTACATTATATTGATGTGGGTCAAAAATCAGCCACTAGGGCAATGATTAAGGCACGACCTCAAATTTTAGTTCTGTAGGTTTTTACTAATATGTCAGTGTGTTTTTATATATATATATATATAGAGATAGATAGATAGTTCAATTAGAGCAAATTTGGTCTTTGGGAAATATAGTGAAGTCGAGAATTATATTTTCTTTATATATTTTAAACATATATAGCAACGAAATATATCATTGTGCCCAGTCACCAAAATGTCCATGAATAATATGTCTTAATTAATATGTGCATTGGTGATTTGTACTAAATGAAAAATTAACCAGATATTTAATATAAATTAATTCCATGCTCAATTTTATTTTATTAAAATGAATTAATGTTATTTTTCACATGCATCGACAAATCAGTATAAACAGTTTTCAGAACTGTATTTGACTTTCAAAGTTGCTATATCTTTCAAGTTCTGTCTTTTTTATAAACCCTTCCTTAGGAAATCACATTTACTCCTAAGGTCAGTGGTCGGCATTAAGTAATAATTCGCACACATTTCTTAGATGCTCTGAAATCCTTACGTGAAGTCATTCCAAAATCATATGTTGTTAATGCAGTCAGTGTTCTGTACCCAGCACACGATAAGCTCTTGGTAAGTGTCAATTATTCTGCCGTTCATTCATGTATTATTATTAGTTTGGGAGAAATAAAGTTTGATGAATGAGCCCTCAGTTCCAGAAATTTATATTTAAATAAGGTAGAAAACCAAATAGAATGATCAACAAAATATGTTTTATTTGTGTAATGCAAATTCCTACTGATCCAAGATATTTATTTATTGATACCATGGATGGGTCTATCACACACTGTTTTGTAAAGTTCATGATATTTTATGTTTTCTTTGAAGATAGAAAGTAGGAAGCCATGAGGGGTTGTTTAAAAAAAGGAGGTTAGAACAGACAAAACAGTTTGGGCAAATGGACAGTGGTGGGCAAGTGTGAGTCAGTTGGAGAGGAGAGGAGAGAGAATGAATCCTCGGTGATCATAGCATTGGAAATGAGTAATAGCAAATAAACTTGGAAAAGCAATTGTCCTTCCAATTATAATTCATATGGTAAGGGACAAATTAAATCCATTCTGAAGATTTTTTAGAGTGAAATTAAACATAGTTTTAGAAATATATGCATGCAGTAGCCTGAGAAATACATTAGAGGGAAAAGAGATTAAAAAGGCAAAAGTGAGAAAAAGATATGCACTGGTAGATGAAATATATTAAATTAAAATTAATGAGTGCATGTATTTAAAAATTTAAAAAATGCATGCAAGTAGTTTATATTGGCAATGCTTGGAAACTGATTGATGGTGACTAAAAATGGGATAGTGAACAGTGAGCAAATTTTGATTTTAGAGGAATGTGTTTGGTTTGCATATAGAAAATTCAAAATTAAAGTATGCTAATGTTAACTGCAGATTGCAGATTGCAAGATTAGATTTTGAGAAAGTACAGTTTTAGGGGATTATATCTTAAAGAAGAAAGTAAAGGGAAGAAAGAAGAGAGAAAACACATAATTATAATTTCCCCCCTTTTTTTCAAACTTGTAATATATTTTCTGCTTCCTTCCCTTCTATCCATAAACATTCTCAAGTCTTCTCAATTTATAAAAGCTATGCCCTACTGCCCAGAATTCTGGATTCCAGTAACCCTATACATCTTTCAGATTCAAGCTTCTTATAAGGGCAATCTCAAATTTCTTGAGTTCTGCATTTTGCCTCTGTTGACCTCATTCCACTTAAGCTGACTTCAAAAAGGAAATTAGTTACTTATTTAAAGGAAAAAAATCTGAATTTTCATTGGAATTGGCATTAATGGTTTATCAATAAGAAAAGCAGGCAAGGGAAAAAGAGAGTGAGAGTTTAGGTACTCTTACTCTCTTTTTCCCTTGCCTGCTTTTCTTATTCTTTCTGATTTGCACTTTTCTTTTTCTTTCTGAAACGTTAGATATATTTGAACATTTATTGAGCCTCTATAATATCACAACCATTCTCTGAGTATTGGTGAATTATGAATAAAAATAGGACCCAGGAAAGTCACGTAGACCCTGCCCAAGTTTCCCAGAGAAGTTTCTGGAAAGGAGGAGGGAATTTAACAATTTAAGATGGAGAGTATGAGGAAACATGTTTTAAAGAGCTTAAACAGCATAATTACCAGTTTATTTTTTTTTCCTCAGTAAATATGTTGTTCCTTCCTCCTGTTCTTGATTACACATTTTATTTCTTTAAATACTTTCATCGTAGTTGTGTTATATCTTTAGCATAAAAATTATGTTAGTTGAAATCTCATGGGTTTATTTCTCCTATATGCTGTTTCAACTGACCCCTGCTTACGGGCCTTATTTCACCATGTGTTTTATAATGTCAGAATATACCCCTAGATTGAAGACAGCCTCATTTATAACATTATTGGCCAATATGGGCCTATGGTATGGTTCTTCTGAATGGTTTTTGTGATTGTTTTTGTCACTTAGCTGTGAGTCCTACATGTGAGACTGCTTTTTAGTTTTTCTCAGGTTGAGGTTTTCCAAAGCACACATGTCTATAATTAAAATCCCAAATATGGGATATGGCAGAACTTCTGGTTTATCCAATGAGAAACATTTTCCCCCTTCCCAGCTTAGGGAAGGCAGGTTTCCTTGTAATTTCCCTTCACCATTGGGTTGATTGATTTTATACCCTCCCTTGATTGTAAATCTTATTCCAGTCCAGTGTTGCCTGGTGTTCTTTTTTTGTTTTTGTTTTGTGAGACGGAATTTCACTCTCGTTGCCCAGGCTGGATTGCTGTGGCGCTATCTTGGCTCACCGCAACCTCCGTCTTCTGGCTTCAAGCTCCTGCCTCAGGCTCTGCAGTGGCTGGGATTACAGGGTCCTGCCACCACACCCAGCTAATGTTTGTATTTTTAGTAGAGACGGGGTTTCACCATGTTTGCCAGGCTGGTCTCGAACTCCTGACCTTGTGATCTGCCCTCCTCGGCCTCCCAAAGTGCTGGGATTACAGGTGTGGTCATTATCTGGCGTGCTATCACAGCTTGTTGTTCTGGGAACACTTGGATCCTATCTGTGTGTAGTCTGTGTTCACTGAAATAGGCGTTTTGGTTACTATGATCAATAAATTCTCAGTGCAGGTATGTACTCTAGTTTCAGGTCTTCCTTTGTTTACCTCTTGCAGCTTTGTCACTTTGCCAAAAGCTCAGCTACATGCATTTGAGCGCATGGAAGGTGAGACAGAGTTTAGAAAGTAGTCATGCTCTCTTTTCTACCATATTGTTAGAAATACGTCAATTCATATTAAAATAACACTTTGTTTATCTTCTAAAATTCTAGATATTCAAGTATTTTATTTCAAATTTCACAAAAAAAAAGATTATTTAAAATATCAGGCATCTCTTCTCTTTTATTGTCCTGGATCCTTCACTTAACTTATTGATCTTGTGAAAATCAGTACTTCTTCATCTTACTCTGTGCAGTGCTTTCTTTCCTTTGTATGCCTGCGTTCACAGACATTTTTTTAGTAGGTGTCTACATGTAGTTAATTTACATATGTGTGTGTGTGTGTAGTTGTTGTAATGATAGTATAGGATTTATGCAACTGTTGGGCAAACATTTATTTTTAGCTATTGCCCAATGTGCTTTCACATATAAGACCTAATCTCTGAATAAGGAATAGATTGTCTGAGTGTGAATTTGTTCATTTACCCTGACTAACCGAATATCAAACTATCATCTTGACTAAGTGCTGTATTTAGTCTGATTGTTAAATGCATAATAAAGTACCATGTATAATGATAGATCATGTTTTACAAAACTTGCATTTTTCTTTATAGGTTATAAAAAATTGGGGGGAAATAATCAGCGTTTGGACCACGTGGTTTACATATCATGCATTAAAATCTTACTACAAATCTTGTTTAAAAATCACCATTAATTGTTTCTCAATTCTTTTTCAGCTCTTCTTCAAGTGACAATTTCACTTAGCAAAGTAGAGCTTAGTGTGGGAGAATCTAAATTCTTCACATGTACAGGTATGTATTTCTATAAATATCTTCAGATAACTTGGTTTCTGTTAAAATATTAATAAAATACATTGGCTAAATTTAAGTAGTTAAAAACTCAATTCTCTAACAGTAATATCTTACTTTTTTGTTGTTGTTGTTGTTTTTGTTGTTGTTTTTGAGACGGAGTCTCACTCTTGTCTCCCAGACTGGAGGGCAGTGGTGTCATCTCGGCTCACTGCAACCTCCCTCTCCTGGGTTCAAGCCATTCTCCTGCCTCAGCCTCCTGAGTAACTGGGACTACAGGGGCACACCACCACGCCTGGCTAATTTTTGTATTTTTGTACTTTTTTAGTAGAGACGGGGTTTCACCATGTTGGCCAGGCTGGTCTCAAACTCCTGACCTCAAGTGATCTGCCCGCCTTGGCCTCCCTAAGTGCTGGGATTACATTCTCCTGCCTCAGCCTCCTGAGTAGCTGGGACTACAGGTGCGCACCACCATGCCTGGCTAATTTTTGTATTTTTGTATTTTTTTAGTAGCGACAGGGTTTCACCATGTTGGCCAGCCTGGTCTCAAACTCCTGACCTCAAGTGATCTGCCCACGTTGGCCTCCCTAAGTGCTGGGATTACAGGTGTGAGTCAGCATACCTGGCCATTGTTGGGTTTATAATTATTGGAAAAGTGTTAATAACCATAAATTGCATATTAAATGATATGAATTTTATTTTTGTTAATTTAATTTGTTAATTTAGACTGCTAATCTTGATCATTTATTTTGAAAATAACTTATGCATTCATTATATCTGATAATAACTTAAATCAATTTAAATATTATTTCTGACTAAACAGTAATATTAGGATGAATATAGAGATTATAACTGAACCATTTTTGTAAATATGCAATGAATAAATTTGGTATGGCACATTGCACTGTAGTTATACTTGAATGAAAATATTAGGCCAAAAATTTATTCTAATATTCATTGACGAGATAGATAGTTATTTAGTCAGGAAAGCTTTGGCCAGATTTTTATGACAATGGAAAGAATCATATGTCATCACGCCTATAGCATATTTTATGGGCCTCATTCAGTATGATAATATACATACGGTGTTCTTTCAAAAGACATTTAAATATTTCAGCATCACAGTTTAATTAAACATATTATAGAACTGACAAATAAATACATTATTTATTTAGATTCAATATATTCATTTTTACAAATACAAGTCTTCATATCCAAACTATGATATGCCTAAAGAATTTTTTAAACCTTAGTGCTAAAATTAGTTATGAGACTACTTTAGAATTGTTTCTAATCTTGATTACACTATAACTACTTAAAACTGGATGAAAATAGACACTAGAAACATAAAATGCATTATAAATATTGTCTTGGCCGGGTGCGGTGGCTCAAGCCTGTAATCCCAGCACTTTGGGAGGCCGAGATAGGTGGATCACGAGGTCAGAAGATCAAGACCATCCTGGCTAACACGGTGAAACCCCATCTCTACTAAAAAATACAAAAAACTAGCCGGGCGAGGTGGCGGGCGCCTGTAGTCCCAGCTACTCGGGAGGCTGAGGCAGGAGAATGGCGTGAACCCGGGAGGCGGAGCTTGCAGTGAGCTGAGATCCGGCCACTGCACTCCAGCCTGGGCGACAGAGCGAGACTCCGTCTCAAAAAATAAATAAATAAATAAATAAATAAATAAATAAATAAAATAAATAAATATTGTCTTGAGGATGACGTGATTTATTTAAGCCAAGATTCAAATTTATAAATATAGAGATATAGTTACAACATTTTATAAATCATATTCAGAGTATATATGTATAAAATATCACATTTTATAGAAACATTAATAGAGCCCATGATTCTTTATCCATTTTCCTTCTTAAAGGTGTGAATTGATAGTTATGTTAATACAAGTATTTGTATATTGACAAATGAAAAAATCAGAGAGTATGGAAGAGATTGATTCAGCATCTCATATGATGTCCGCAGAAATTTGACACAAGCATATAGGTCACTGTTTCTAAATCCCATCCATATTTTATTAATATCTTCATAAATTATGACACACTGAATTCTATCACATAAAGATAGAATAATAAAATAGTTTAAAAATCAATTTTGAAAATACAATGAAATTGTACTTTTATGTATTTGTATATTTCTCTGAAATATGTTGCGTAGACTAATTGCCTGTATGTATTGCATAGCTCAAATTAAGACATGCTTTAAAAGTGAATTAAGGCCATTCATTGGTGATGAGTTTTGCTCTTAATAAGAATGTAAACTGAGTAAGCATTTATTTTCTTTTATATAAAAATGTATCACCTAGCGCTTTTCTATAGTATTGGAAATAGTCTTATTTATATTAAATATAGTAGTAAAACAAGACTCTAAAAATAAAAATATTGGAAAACCATGCAAGCCACTATGCTTGTATGTATTTTTCTGCTACAATGCTGACAACCTAGATATGCCTCCAAAATTTTCAGACGCCTTAAAAATACAGAATCTAAAACTCAATAAAGTAAATATCTTAAATTTAAACTAGAAGGATGTTATACCCTCAAAGAGCCAAAGAAGTGTCATACAGAAAATTATTGTAACTACATTTTAAGAAAATAAAAAGTTTAATGCTATTTATAAATAATCTGTACAATAATCCAGCCTTATCAAAATGGAAAATTTTGATAGAAATTATTATTTGTTAGAGATACTTGAAACAATTTTAACAGCTTTATGAAAATCCACAATAAACTGTCAATGAAAATGAAATTTATATTATATTAAGAATGAGAAGGTCCAAAATATCAGAATATCCTGTTTAACTTGCTATATAAAGTATTATTTTGTATTATTCAAATGTAAAGAAGTACATATTTAAATTATTTTTTGTAACTTCTCCATAGATGGAGGAATTAAATAAAACACATCCCTCCCCTTCAAATGCATTACTGTGTAACAACTATGGTTTTATGATTTGTTTAGAAAAAACTGAAGATAACATAACTAAGATCTATTTAAGATTCACTAAACTTTCATACTTTTACTCAAGCATGTCTAATTTCTTATAGAAAGGAGGATAATTTGTTTCTAAAACTATTTCTTAGGAAAAATGAGAAGAGAGAATTTTCTTCAAAGAGGTCCTGCAGATGTTAGTTGACTTTATACATTTCCCCACCGATACTTTTGAGTTAATAGTGTATGCTGCTTCCATAAATGCTATCTGAAGTAATTAGGTGAACTACATCCTTTTGGTGACTAAAAGCAGACACAGAAATCTTCAGCTTTTACGAAAGGATAATAACCTAGATTCTGAATTGGAAAACTTAAATAAATGTTTACCCTGTAATGATTTGGTTATAATTACCTAGAAGTGTAAGTATCATTTTGATGCATTGTAATTATCATACGATAAAGTAGTTAACAGTTTTAGATTAAAATAATGAAACTACTTATTTCTCTTGGGAAAAGAGATTAGGACATCATTATAAAAATGGTCATTGGCTTTATCTATTCAAGTTTAGCAACTAGGGAAATTAATTTCAAATTTAGTATTATCAAAGGCCAAAGTTTGTTTTGTGAAAGATTTACATTTTTTTAAGCTCGGCATTATCAGAGTTTTAAGTGCTATCTCCTGACCCTAGCAAAGACAATTGAGCAAATGAAATCGTATTAATAATTGTGGTTCTGTTCAGATATTATCTTTAAGTGGGTTTTATGCCTGGCTTGGTGGTCAAGGAAGTTTCAGAACTTAAATGTAATAATCCATTGATTTCTAAGGGAAAATTTCAACAATCATAGCTTAAATACTACACAAGAAGTTTGCTGTGAAAGTTTTAGGTATTGCTTACTCAAGCGTGAATCCTCCATGTTGGTTAAACAAAGATGAACATTTGCACTAACGTTTGCATTTACTTTCAGTTTCGTAAGCTTCTCAGATTTCCAGTCTCTTACATAAATTTTTTCTAAATTGTTAATATTATTACATAATAGTAAATGCCAATGCTCAAACATTTGCAACGTATTTTCAAACCTTTGTTTTCCATGGCTCTTTGCAGCGATTGGTGAACCTGAAAGTATAGATTGGTATAATCCTCAAGGAGAGAAGATAATTTCAACACAAAGGATAGTAGTGCAAAAGGAAGGTGTTAGGTCACGGTTAACCATCTACAATGCAAATATAGAAGATGCAGGGATATATCGTTGTCAAGCAACAGATGCCAAAGGACAGACACAAGAAGCTACAGTAGTTTTGGAAATTTACCGTAAGTCATGTGTTTTTATGTTTTAGTTTATTAAGTTTCAGTTGCTTATAAATAATTGAAACAAAATAAAATGTTTGATAATAAAACTTAACACTTATTAAGAACTACATGCTTTAAAAATAAATATCATTTATTTATGCTTTACTAGACTGTATCTTAGAATACAATAGATAACATGTATATGGCATCAATTATATTAATAATATTAATAAAAATCTTTTCATTTTCTCAAGCCATTAAGAATTTACTGGGTATATAGATACTAGTGGTTTATTTAGTGGTATGATATTTATTCAGTGTTTTTTTTTTCATTGTAAAATAGAAGGTCATGATTAGAATAAATGAAAATGTGTGACAGCCCTGACCATTGTAGAATGAGAATCTGGGGAAGGGTGAGTGAACAGGAGTAGTCAGAAAGTTGAAACTAATCTAGTAGCCAATAATATTAAGCCAGGATTCTTTACCACTAAGTGTTTTTATGAGCAAAGTTTTCCACATTTGCACTTCTTTTTAGGTACTGGGATAGATTTCTTCCTATGTTCCTTTCTCTTTCTCATATTTAGGAATCATTAACCTGTTTAGGAACATTGAAATCTGTTGACTCCTGTATTTTAAAGCAAGATATTCCAATTACTTTTGTGACCTTGAGCAAATCATGTAACCTCTCTGTCTTCAGTTTCCTCATATATAAAATGAAGATAATAATGGTACCTATTTGATATATGGAGTTTCAGTACTACCTTAAATTATATTGCATAAAGTACTTAAAACAATGTCTTACAATTAATAGGTAGTTAGCATTTCTACCAATGATAAATTATATATATATGTATTTGGAATGCAAGCCCTTAAATCGTCTCATATCTGTAGCTTTGTGTTTTGTTTATTATTCTAGAAATAGGATATGAAAAACAAAGTCAGAACATTCCTACAGTAGGACTTCCTGTTTGATGACCAGGGCAATTTGTGGGCACATTGTTGCTCTTGTGTTTCCTGGTTTGGAATTTTTCCCTCCCATTTGATTCTAAGCTTCTGAAGAAATGATATTGTCCTAATTTATGTAATCCCCTGGAGTATCTATTTTGCAATAGCAAATAATTAAATTGAAATGGCCATTTTATAGATATAGTGTTTGGAAATACTTTTATTATTTTAAATGATGCAAAAGAAGAATCCTGACATTTCATTTGTGAAGGTAAACAACAAATTTTTGCAGGAACAATTCATTACTTCTATGAGAATTTCTCATCAAGCATAAATATCCATGTTCACTCATTCATTCATTCATTCATTCATTCATTCAAGACACTTACTGGGTGTGTATACACTATAATTCTGAGTCCCAGCCAGAGACAGACAATAAATAAGCTGAAACAAATACACAGATGCTAGCTAAACATGCTGTGGAATTCTATGGAAAATGAATTACGTGGAGTGGAAAGGTAAGGAACCTTGAAATGGAAAGGAATATTGCTATTTTATATAGGCAGGTTGGATAAGAATCTGAATGAATTGAAGGGGGTGCAAATGCCCTGTGGTGAGAACAAACCTGGAATGTTCAAGGAACCTCTAAGAAGACAGTTTTCCTGGAGCAGTGTGACAAGGAAGAGAGAGGAGAAACTGGGATTGGAGTTGAGGAGATAGACTCCAGTTTATATAGAACCTCATATCGCATTGAAAGATCTTTGGATTTTATTCTCAGTGAGATAGGAAGGTATTAGGGAGAAGAAGTAGACTATCTAGTTTAAGATTTTAAAGTATCTAGGTTTTCCTAATGATTTTATTATAGTGTCAATGGAGTCTGGATTATGTTATTGGGAGAAAGAAGCAATGATACTTTTGTGATTTGTGATTTGTTTTACTTTGTTGATACAGAAAAACTCACTTTCAGAGAAGTGGTATCTCCACAAGAATTCAAACAAGGAGAAGATGCAGAAGTGGTTTGCCGAGTTAGCAGTTCACCTGCGCCTGCTGTCAGCTGGTTGTATCATAATGAGGAAGTCACCGCTATTTCCGACAGTTAGTATTTTGGTAACTCCCTAAGTTATATGTTCTAATACTATTGCAGTTTTTAAAAATCTGAATCTTTGTGTCTAATTGTAGAAATTGGAATTTTTGACCCCAAATACTCAACAACTAGTTTGAGAACCTGTAAGCTCTACATTAGGATTTTTTAATTTAGGGGTCTCAGGGCAAATTCACTGCCCTTTACCCCTCCATTGTAATCAGAACACAGTTATGCCCATTTGCCACATACTATCTGTGGCAGCTTTGGAGGCAGAGTTGAGAAGCTGTGGCACAGTTGATTCAGCCTAAACAAATATACAATCATTAGTATCTGGAGGTTTACAGAAAAGGTTTTCTGACCTTTGCTCTAGTGTCAGGGAAAGATTTATATATTATAAGCAGTACTAAGTACATGAAGGAGTACATCCTGCTGTATTCAAATTCTATATAATTTATACATGATTCTATGGGATCACTATATGTAAACTTAATATCGATGTGAATTATGTTTATTATTCTGGGGCTGTACTTTCAAGGATACTTACCTGTTCTAAATATTATGGGAAGATCCGTATAGATAATAGAAATGTACATTCATTCAGATTGTCCTCATGATTTCGATTTAGACTGAGCTAAAATTTCAGAATAATATGACATCTGAAATCAAATGTATAATTTGCTTACATTATGTTCCTTTACCATGTGCATAGGGAGCGTTTTCAATTTAGAATATTTTTCAATGCACCTGCATTGCAGAGAGGTACAAAATAATTGAATCTTTTAAAGTATTTTCCATCTTCGATGATTCTGATTTGTGTCCAAGGTATGAAGATTCTACAGCATAAAGGAGAGATAGAAAATAATATCTATTTTTGAATATGTGGGGAGAATGTATGATAATCATGTTCAATAGTCATTTTTTTAATTTTGAAAGAATATTTCTGAGCTTAGCATATTCAATGCTTGTCAGTTTCCATTATAATACATTAATGAGAAATAACACTTTATTTCCTCTTGTTTCAGCATAACTCTGTCGAGTGTATTAACAAGTCATATGAGTAAATGGTTTTGATGTATTTTTAGCTCTTTTCCCCTCAATAATAAAGAAAAAGCAGTGATTTTGTAATGGTGGAATGACAATGTCTAAATATTTTCAGATTGTCTAATCTTAAAATCTGTAGGTTTATTGTAAACCTTTATTAATAGAATATTTTGAAGTAAATTTTATTTTTAAAAGGCATGTAGAGCAAAGCCTCAAAGCAAAGACTGATGACAACAGGAAGTGGTGATGGAGAAGTGATATTTCCATGCTACAACTCATACATATTTCCCCAGCATCCCAGGACTAAATGACGTACAGCCAAATTTCCATTCTGGCTTTCCTCCTTTCCTTGACCCTGAAGCTTTGAACATCTTTTCTAAATGTTCTGTGCCTAAATCAGACTCATTATCTGTTAAACATAGATGATTGCCTTCATTTAAAATAATGGCTTTGTGTCATAAATGAGACATTCGACATAAAGTTGTTTCTTGACATCTATGGGTGATTTGTTCCAGGACCTCCCACAGATACCAAAATAAGCCGATGCCAAAGTCTCTTATATAAAAAAGGATAGTATTTGATATAACCTGTGTATATCCTACCATATATTCAAAATTATATCTGGATTATTCATAATATCAGATAAAACATAAAGACTATGTCCATGGTTGCTATACAGTATTATTTGGGAAATAATGACAAGGAATAGCCTGTACATGTTCGATAAAGATGCAGTTTAAAAAATATATATTTTTCATCAGCAGTTGTTTGAATCCACGTATGTGGAATCCATAGATAGGGGAGCTAGCTATACTTCATTTGTTAAGTGAATGAATAAAATAATTTGGCTATATGTTAGATTCTTAATAAATGACATACATCATTCTCATTCCTTCTCTATTAGTTTTTAAATCTTGGAATTGGTTTTGTCAAAATTACGTGCATTTAGGTTATATCCAGAACCAGAAAATCCAGTGTAGAAGAAATGGGTATAGTTTAACATGAAACATAACACTAAGTTGTGTGGCAGGTGAAAAAAATAATAAAATAAATAAAATAGTATTTTTAACTATAGAATTTAAAGTATTCAAGTAAATTATCAGGAACAACACACTTTTCTAACCTTGTAATAGTGTAGAAACTTATCACATAACTCATTATTGAACAATTTGTACATTTATAATGGATTCATATGAAATAGTATTATTCACTGCTTATACCTCATATAGTCGCTTTATTAAAGCTAATGAAATAAGATCAAGATTACAATTATGTATGAGGATTTAGAATAATGCCACGGACCCAGATATCTTTTTTTTGCTGTAATCTGATTCAAAAGTAAAATATAGATATTCCAGAGGAAACAATGAAAGCTTGGAAATGCTCATCTTATTAGCTATGCTTTTGATTGTAGCTGTGTGGCAGATATTCAGAATTAAATTTCCTGCAGAAAAGCAGTGGAGATTTTCCATGTTGCTCATAGAAAGGAGATTCATATTCTAAAGGAGCCAAGCATTGTGGGAGTAAAGATGACATTTTATTACACAAGTTGAATATCCTGACTTTTAGTGTCATCCTGATGGAAGGATATGCTATTTGCTGATAACAGTTCAACCTTGGCCTGTTTGGAAATTATCTCTTAAATTTTGTAAATGCTTTGGTCAACACCTAATTGATATACTCCTTCTGCATTAAAAAACATTAAAATTACCTTGTTCAATACAATTTTTATATAACCTACTTCTAGTATAAAATATTAATTCAACAATTATTGAATACATAGGATCTATTCTGTAGTGCACCAGATGTTTATGATTCATGGTAAGCAAGATAAGTTCACTGCCTTCAAAATACTAACCATCTAGAGGGAAAAATAAATAGGTAAATCAGTGTGAGAACAAGATACATTAAGTGTATGATAACGAAATTGTGGTAATAAAGGATGATAAAATAAATGTAAACTACTTAGGATAAGAGAAAGTATCAAAGATGCCTGTCAGGAGGAAAAAGTTACCTTTATATATAGAGACACATATTAGCCAGGCAAACATCGGTGCGGAATTTTCGGGAAGAGAGAAGACCATGTGCAATGGCGCAGAGGTGAAAGGCAGCATAAAAGCATATTTCTGAAACTGGAATAAGTTTATTATTACTAGAACTTATTAATAAGTGCAATTTAAATACTTATACAAATGAGTAAATCTAGCTAAGATTTTTCAATAAAGGACTAATAAGAAAGGAAGCTGAAGAAGGAGGTCAAACCAAGTCAACACAGCCTTGATATCTGCTACAGAGTTTGTAATTTATTCAAAGGGGGCATCATTAAAGGGATTTAATCAATGCAGTGACATAACCTAATATGCAGTTGAGAAGAATATTTGTATGTCAGTGAAGAGAACAAATTAGATGGGAGACAAGGCAAAACTGAGACTGAGAATAGTTCAGGTCATAATGAAATATTGCTGAGGGAGAAGAAGACTTAAATAAGGATGAACAGAGAAGTGATGAGACATGGAGTCTGATTGGGTGTTCAGACTCAGAGAGATGAAGATATCAAGAATGACTCGTGGAATTTGCCTTCCCCGGAGTTCTATCACTTACGGAATATTCCTTTGGCAACTAGTTCCATGTAAAGGCATGTGAAGACAGAACTGTCAAATGCCAGATGATAAATTTCAGGTGGAGATACTGAGCTAAATTTTAGATATACTGATATCGAGGTACTTAAATTCCTCCTAAGTATGTATATCTAGTAGACTGTTAAAAATGCTACGGAACTCCCAGGAATGATCTGATCTGAAGAAAAATGGTGAGTCCTTAAGATACAGATGGTGATTGAAGCCATGTGGATAGATGAGACAAATCATTGAGTGGGCAGCTAATGAGGAAAAAACAGGACTTAGAAATAACTAAGTTATTACAGGTGTGGTGGCTCACACCTGTAATCCCAGCACTCTGGGAGGCCGAGGGCGGATCATGAGGTCAGGAGATCGAGACCATCCTGGCTAACATGGTGAAACCCCATCTCTCCCAAAATTCCAAAAAAAAAAATTAGCTGGGTGTGGTGGCCGGCGCCTGTAGTCCCAGCTACTTGGGAGGCTGAGGCAGGAGAATGGCGTGAACCCGGGACGTGGAGCTTGCAGTGAGCCGAGATCACGCCACTGCACTCCAGCCTGGGCAACAAAGCAAGACTCTGTCTCAAAAAAAAAAAAAAAAAGAGAGAGAAATAACTAAGTTAAGGAAACAAAGCAGACACTTTATTGGTTATTATCTGATTACACTTATTTTCTTACTTTGATAATGAAAATTGGGTTTCTGTATAACTGAGAAAACCAATCTAAAATAAAATTTCAAATAAAATAGTTATTTGTGACTGATTAAAGCTATGCTTTCTTCAAATGTTTTCTGGAAACACCTATTATGGGCTTTGTTTTGATGATAGTTTACTAACAATATCGAATTCATGGGCCTCACAAACACATTTGGAATCTGACATGCAATTTTCACATAGTTTTCTGTGTGGAAAATATTTTACATATATAAACATATATATAGTATGTATTTCGATTTAGCAGGTAATTAATGTTTTCCTAAAGTTTTAAGTTTTCATTCAGTAGAAATAATGCATTAAAATGGCCATTGCGAATTCAAATTTTTCAATGAAAAAAATGCTGATATATTCCCATAAAATATGTATTATGTGATTCTAATTATTGCTCCTTAATGTAAAGCACTGCCTTTCTGATTAAAACAATATTTCTCCTTATTATTCATATTTTTCCTAATTCACATTAAATATCAGTAAAAATCATTATAGGTGAAGGATGATAGGTATTTTAGCAAGTTAGAAAATGCAGTAATACAATGATCTAAGTATGATAATGTTCCTCTTCATTTTATATTTTATTTATTTATAATTGCCTCTCTTCTAAATTTCTGGCCACACACTTGAAGAGAGGATTTTTAATTGACTTTGAAACTTTATGACATTTCAGGAGTTTTGAGTTATTTCAGGACCACTTATGAGTTATCCTCTAACATTTCTTGTGGATTGGTGGATTGGTTTTCTTTCTCCCCGGTCTTTCTTTCGATGAGGGCATTTCATGTTTATGCTTTAATTTACCAGGGGAAAGAATCTGAACAAACATTTTTTGTCTCTCTTCTTAGGTTCAACCTAAGAAAAAAGTGAACATTATGGAAAAGTTTACACCTCATGGGCTGCAAGTCGTGTGGCCATCGCATTAGAATCACTATTTTCACTTTGGGGGAGCCTCCGAATCTGTGCATTTCAACCCCTGATTAGTTATCTCTTAAACAAAAAGCAACCACATGCTTGTCGGTTTAATGAGTATCTATGTCCTGATGGCTCTTCTATTTGTTATTTCTAGGCCAAACTTCTCCCCTCTCAGTAAGGAACTACTATGACAAATTCAGCCCCAAATCAGAGTGGCCTACTACCCTAGCAGTTTATGGCTGACTCCCCTAGCAGTTTATGGCTCATGCAAAGTCCAATTGGTGGCAGAGGTAGAGGAAGGATCCTACCATATCCCTTCCTTGATCAGGCTGATGGAGACTCTGCCTTTTTCACACGTGGCTTCAGTGGTTTTCCTAACCTCATTATCAAGCCAATAGAGAGGGATAAAAGCAGTAAACATTGGAACTGGCCCAAAGAGTAAACAATCGACTGTAGATATGTTAAAGGCTGGGTACCTTAAAATATCAGCTTTCCACCTGATCAAAAAGCCAAAGGGATAGAAGCGGTGTGTTTCTTATTCATCAAAGTGTCTTATATACAGTATCCAGCAAACAGATAATAGTCAATGAGATCTATGCATGTGTTAATTAAGGAAATTTAAGATATTGCCCATACAAAGAGTTTCAAAATTGGACTATATGTAAAAGCATTCTTTGAATGATAAGGTGAGAGAAGGTTTTAGCATGGCAGCAAGATTGTGATGCTTATAAAATCAGGGCAGACACAAAAAATAATGCCAGGCTGAGATGCTGCTTAGGCGTCACAGATTACTGTAGCGGATTACTTTACACGATCCGTGAATGCAGGCTGTATACCAGCTTATTTATATATATGTGCATGTGCGCATACACACACACACAAATGGAATCTTGAAATAAAATAACAAAATATAATCGATTTGCTCCTTTACAGATTATCTTGTTAGCCAAAATAACCCTTAAATAAATTTGAGATATAATCATTTTGTGTCCTTTATATGACTCAAATATTATTATATCATTTAGTTGCCTCAACAGAGACGCAAAATTTTTAATTATTGTATAAAGAAGGATGTTGAATAAATTTTCTAGCCCTTTTCAACCCATGTTGCCACATATTTGCAGTCAAAAGTTTGCATATCTGTGATACCTAATCTCTCTGCATTGTTCTTTTGTGTATCATTTCTGCATCCAAGGTACCAACGGGAAATAATAGCCTGACCATTTTATGTGGATATAAAGTCTTGAATGTATTTTATTTTTTTTTTTAGAAAAAAAAAAAGGTGTAACAAAGCAGTGTAGAGTAGAAACATTGAAGTCATGAAATTACATTTTACTTTCAAATTTGAATTTGCTGATGAAAAGCTTGATAGTGTCAGACAGTGCCATATTTTAACTATTAACAATTTAGAGCACTCTGAACTTAGCCTTCAATTACCGATATCATTTTCTCCCCTTTGCTTTCTTTCCAGATCGGTTCGCTATGTTAGCAAACAATAACCTGCAGATTCTCAACATCAATAAAAGCGATGAGGGTATATACAGATGTGAAGGAAGAGTGGAGGCCAGGGGAGAAATTGACTTCCGTGATATCATTGTTATTGTTAATGGTAAGCAGTAAATAATTTGTACATGTTTTATGGTTTCATTTTAGCAATGCTTTTTACTAAATGGCAACCATGTGAACTCAAAATACAAGTTTTATCTAATAAACCTCTTCTATACCAGGAAGCAATCTTTCCATCTTTATTATGGCATCTGTAACATTGTATTACAGCCTCAAGGCAGGATCCATGACTTATTTTACATTGTCATTCTCATAACCCTTTTCAAATAGGCCATATGTGAGTAATTGCCTTTTGCTGGAATTGTAGTTGTTGAAAAAATATCAAATAAACATAGTACAGTATCATACTAAATGTCACTTTTAAATTACATGAATTTTTTGTTGCTTAAATTTACGTGTTTTACACTATTTACATTTTTCTCAAATTTAAAAATTAAATTTTTAAGGTTTTATTTACAAGTATTAATGGATATTATTGACTGGTTTTATGAAATCTCTTGCTCGAAAGTTGCTTCTCCTATATAGTTCTTGCCTGTGTTAACATGACATTCTATGCAGCTGGAAAATATGTTAGACAGTTATCTTGGATGTCTCCTGTACTAGCCCATTTTCACACTGCTATAAAGAATACTCGAGACTGAGTAATTTATAAAGAAAGGAGATTCAATTGACTCACAGTTCCAAATGACTGGGGAGGCCTCAAGACACTTACAATCATGGCGGAAGGCAGAGGAGAAGCAAAGGCACCTCTTACATGACAGCAGGCAAGAGTGTGTGAGAAAGAGTAAGGAAATGCCACACTTAAAGCCAGCAGCTCCCATGAGAACTCCCTCACTGTCACAAGAACAGCTTGGGGAAAACTGCCTCCACGATCCAGTCACCTCCCACCAGTTCCCTCCCTTGGATACCTGGGAATTATTAATACAACATGGGATGAGATTTTGTTGAAGACACAGAGATTTTGTTGAACCATGTCATCTCCATTTTGTCAATCTAATCTGTTATCAAGACATATCCATTGTATATTTTAACATCTCTTAAACATACTCTATTTTCTCTGTCATCTTGTTTTCCATGAGAGTGCTGATCTAATTTTTTTTTTTTTTTGAATTCATACAACTTGTTTTCTCTGCACTTAATCTCACAATTCCACCTTTCTCTCCACCAAGACTTTCAACTGTCATAATTCTTCATTGCTTCTCACTACTGTCAAGACAAAATCAAAATGACTTTTCATGGCATAAAAAACCCATTATGATCCACCCCTTCCCTAAGAATTCTGCCATTAGATGTCAGTCACAGGGAAACTGGGTCTTTAGAGGAGATCTAGCATTTTTGAATGGCCTTTTTAGAAGTACAGAGTCTGATATTTTTTATTAAGGGTGCCATAATGAGAGGAGTAGTTAACCTTCAGTGCAAGAGGAAGATTTCAGTGCATAAAGGATAGGTTTAAATAGGGAGGTGTCTGTATCTATACCTTCATCTAGATCTATATGTAACTCTTTTTTTCTCTTTATTATATACAATAAACAAGGGTAGTATATAGTGGCTATTTAGTTTGTTAATTATCAAATTGTCTACCATACTTTGTATCCAAAAAGATTTATGGTGAAATATATAAGTGTATTTTATCATGAGCAGTCTTTGTGTTAAGTGTGTACTTATGAAAAAGGGAATTATAATAAAAATTAATATATGTAAAATTCTTTAAAATTGGTAAGTGTATAGGAAGCAGCATATAAGTATTTCCTATTATAGTTATTATATATACATACAATTACACTAAAATTAATTCAAGTTTGATATTAAAATGAAATTTATACAGTAGGCATAGTAACCCTTTGTTATTCATTCTGCTATTGTAGTTTCTACTTTAATATGTGGTTGGTGCAAAAGTACTTGCGGTGTTTATCATTACTTTTAATGGCAGAAACCGTACTTATTTTTGCACCAACCTAATATTTTCTTTAATATATTTATAGCCTGTTGTAATCTATTTCCCTACTAGAATATCTGTGTTTGTGTACTTATGATTACATTCATTTTAAAGGAATCATTATTCAGGTATGAATATTCTTTTAATAAAGTGTCAATCTTCATGTCCATCATGGTCTGCATTTAAACTGGAATATTTGTTTTTATATTTCTATACTTATTTATTTCAGGATTTATAAGGAGACAAATATAGGAATATGTTTTTATGTGCCATTCTGATCAATCATGCAAATAATTCCTGTTTTGTCTGTGTAGTTTGACCCTCCCAAAAGCAAATTCTTCTTCTCTGTCTCCCACTTTCCTCTAACAGAATCAACCATCGATTCTAATGTGACTTTCTTTGCTTGGACATTGATGATGAGTCTCATTTTTTCCCTTTAGGATCACAAACTCTAATAGCTTAAAAGTCCTGGTATCTCTTTTATTTTAAATAAGTGTTCATAAAATCAGGTATCAATTGATTTTTGTTCTGGAGGATGCAGTTGGACACTGCCGAGAGAATGCATTGACTAATGCTATCAGACAACTGTGCTTTTCTCTCACATTTTGCCTTAACTTAAGCCAGAAAAATCATTTTACTTCAGTCTCATTGACTTTCACCCTGCTTACTGGCTCCTTTTAAATCTTGAGTTTTTTAAAAAAGTTTTCCCTTATTATGCCTCTTTATAAAACTCCTTAACGATGTTTCAGTGAAAATTTTGAGGCTGCAAAAAATAATACCAATAAAATAAAAGCACTACTTTTATTCATATTATTTGATCTTTAATTACAGACTCTGACTACTGCCGTATTCTCTTCCTCTCAATTTACATTCCCAGTCCTCTCACTTAATTGCTACTAATTTTTATCTTTACCAATTTGACATTTATTCTGGTCCTCTTTCATTCATCCTCTTCCACCTCAAGTATACCAAAGTCCCACCCAAATGCCCCAGTCAATTGTTTTTCCCTATGCAACGTTTCCTTGTCAAATCTTGGCCTTTGTAGGAGGACCTGCCCTTTATTCTATGTTTTGTTCTTTGCAAACTTTTCCATCACATTTCTATCACACCAATTCATACTCTTTTGCTTCAATAATTAGTTGAAAGATATCCTTGCTGGCTTCCTTTGTAGTACCAGCAATAATAAATGTTTAGGATCTTATTACTTATTTTATTTTTTTCTTACCTCCCTCTATGACTTTCTTAATGTATTTTTGAATGCCTGGGTATTGTTTTTCACAAATATTCTTCCCCTTCGTTGAAGAAGGTTATATATCAGTGCCTTTGATGTGGGAAGTATGGCGCCTCCAATGGAAGGATTATGCCTTGTCACCCAGTTGATCATGTGACTTGCTCTAGCCAATGGCATAGAAGCAAGCAAAATACACACCATGACTGAAATCAAACTACAAGAAAACATCACATATTTTCTCTTAATTCTCTTGTTTTTTCCTTCTGCCATAAAAATAGCATGACCCAAATAGGGACTTCCCTTCATTCTGGGCACCTTGATGGAGACGGGAGGAGCAGAGTCACAGATGATCTGCCGGTGCAGGCAACATAACATGAGTACAGAATAAAACATGTTTTTAAGCACTGAGATGTTTAAAGTTATTATCATACACACACACACACACGCACACACACACACACAGACAAATGCAAAACCAGTGCTTTTGTCTGTTTTGTTTCTCTCTCTGTCTTTAAACATTCAATTTAAGCGCCATCTGACCTAGGTGTACCTTTGAAATTACCTGGGTGTCCCTTTTCACCTTCCCTGATAGTGATCATTTATGACAATTTTTATTACCTTATTGAAATACTGGAAATTTAGCTGAAGAGTTTTTACTGTCATTTCAAAATTATTTTATATTTATTTCATATATTTATTCAACAGGTATATACAAAGTGCTGGCTATATGTTTTACACGATATTGTGCTTGGACTACTAATATTCCTAACACAGCATCATTTCCCTTAAGACACTTAGAGTTTTGTCTCAACAACTTAAAAGAATCAACTTTACTAAAGTCCTTTATTGTTTTTGGGGTAGCTGGATTCAAAAGCATTTAACAAATGCAGTTTTACTAGATAGTCACAGACTATGGACATCCAATGAGAATGGACACCCAATGCAGCTGAAGACAGGAGAGTTCCCTGGTATTAAAGATAAATATAATTAAGGAAAACTGTTATTTCGGAGAATAGAGCAAGAATATGTTGCAGACAGAAAGACCAACACTTGTAAAACAAACAAGAGCATAAGGTGTGAAAAAATCCAAGCACCTAACTGTGATTGAAATATGCTGTTTTTAACAGGAATAAGAGTAATGGTGTGTTGAGTGGTTTGGACATTAGGTGGAGGTGCAGCTGAAAAGCAGGTAGCAGTCAGTCATGGAGGACCATCAATGCTCTCTTAAAAACCTGATTTGTGGGACAAAGAAGAGCTGCCATTGAGAAGCAAGTAATCCAGAGAGCAAGGAGATTGACATAAGGATGTTGGCAGGGAGAAGAAGTGAGTTCATGTGAGAGATAATTGGGGCCTTTACTAAAGGACAGGAAATGAAGAGGAAGGCCTACAATAACACTAGATTTATAGCAAAATCATCATGTTATACCTGTGTCACAGAGATAAGAGGAAACAAGGGTATTTTTAAGACTTCTAGTGTGGGTTTTAGGGCTTCCAGTTGTCATATGCAAGCAGAAATGACCAATAGAGTGTGCACAAAAATAAGTGTGCTGAATTTAGAGATTATGAGGTTGCAAGAGACATTATGGTAAATGATATTTCTTAAGTAGCTTGGGTCAAATTCAGATTACAAGGACTTGAAGCATAAAGGTACACATATATTTTTTAAAGGATGAAAGCTAAAAAAAAAAAAAACCTCAGGTTTTTGGACTTAGCTATTAAATGGGGAGCATCCCAAAGCTGAGCTATAGGATATTGTTGGGGTTTTAGGACAATATTAAGGAATATTACCTTAAACATAAGGAGAATATGTTTTATATTGAGCCTGGAGGAAATGAGTTAAAAAAATGAGTGAGGGTGTACCTAAATTCATAGGTAG